GTTCTTTGCCGGTGCGGGCTGGCCGATGGCAGCGGCCTGATGTGCCCAGAATGGTTCTTTGCCGATGCGGGCTGGCCGCCCGCAGCGGCCTGATGTGCACCGAATGGTGCTTTGGGCCAGAATGGTTCTTTGCCGATGTGGGCTGGCCGCCCGCAGCGGCCTGGTACGCGGAACTAAACTTTCGGGCTGAAAGGATCTCAACGCAATCGGCCTCTAGAAACTTTGTCTAAATAACTAGAAGAAGGTCTGGAGGGGTTCGTAGACGATGGTTGCATAGGAATGTGCAGAGTGTCCTGCTGCTGATGATGCGGCTTCGCATGTTGGAAGCTTCACCACATGGTACCCAAACAAAGAGCAGTGTTCTGAGGTGACCCAGCACGAACAAGTCTAAGTTTCATTCTTTATACTGGTGCCTTTGTGGAAACAAGCTCAAATTCCACGGGTCGGAAAGGACCAACCCTGGACTCCAACCATGCTGCCTTCCAGTGGGAGGCGGCTGCACATGCACTGGCCACTGCATTGAAGGACTCCACCGTAGGCCTGAATCGGGCTCTAGGGTCTAGGGCTTGGACCTGAAACCGGGACCCGACGCGCCCTGAAGCCCTGAAAGCATAAATCCAACAACCGCTTAGGATTCATAAGGCAGTCAGAGCTTGAGGCTGAGCTTAAGGAGTGCTTAGCGTTTTTCGTGTAGAGTTTAGTTCGGGGCTCACCCCGTCTGTGGGTCAGAATTCAAAATGTAGAGCTCGGGGTTAGCTTAGGGATTTCGCGGAACTTCTGAGCCCTTTCGAAACTCTCAACCAGGTGTGGGGTTCGGGGCTTCGTGCTCGCTGTGGGTTTAGGGCTAAATGCTTGGATTTGATGTTTTGGGGAGTTAGGGTTTAGGGTTTGGCATTGGGTTTTGGTCGACGGGTGCGGGCTATGGGCGCCACAGATAGACCCTGAACCCCAAAGCTAAAACCCTGAACCCAAAGCCCTAACCCGGTACCCAAAACTCTGCACCCGAAATCACGAGCCGTAACCACCCCAAGCCCCTTGCCACAAGCCCTAAACTGGCCCTGAACGAGAAGGATGCTTCCCACTAAGAAGGCGCCCTTCTTCTGCTTCGGCCTGGGCCCAGCACCAAGCATTCCCTGGGGCTGGACAAGCTCGAGAAGCAGGGGTTGAAAGTGTTCATCCCGGTTTTGGGCTTCTGGGGCACCGGAATTTGAGATGTGGGTCCCAAAGTGTCAGGCTCGAGCTTGGAGAAATTTATAGGTTTCTATGCCTTAAACCCCAAGCCCAAGAACGGTGCGGTGCTACGCTGTTTTTTCGGAGGGAGAGGGAGAGGGAGAGGGCGGGGCCTGACTTGAAAACCTTCAGGCTCTACCAAACCAACGAAAAGGAAACACATGATCATTAGACCTTGAAACCATAAACCTTTTCGGCACAGAAATAACAACGTAAGCCCCCGGACCCAAAACAACCTTGAACCCTACACACACCCCGAAACAAGCATTGCTCAAACAAAAAACTCCAAACCCGTCAAATAAAAAACCTGACCTCAACAAACAACCCCAAACCAAGCAGAAATTCAACCCTAACCCCTAAACCCCTAANNAACCCGTAACCCCAAACCCCTAAACCCTAAACCTAAAACCCTAAAACCCCTAACCCCTAAACCCTAAACCCTAAACCCCTAAACCTCTAAACCCCAAACCCCTAAACCCTAAGCCCTAAGCCCTAAGCCCTAAGCCCCCAAGCCGACTGCGCTCCAAGGGGCACGAAGGAAGCCCAAAGCCGACTGCCAGGCCTTTGAAGGACTGAGGGGGCCCCTTTCAAAGGCTCCCTCAAAGGTTCATGTAAGCGAAGAATGCTGCAAGCCCGTAAGGTGAAAAGGACCAACCATCCCAGGATCTTAGGCTTAGGGCGTGGGGCTTTGAGTTTAGGATATTTTGGGTTGGGGCTTGGGTTTTTGGGCTTATGGTTTAGGGCTTGAGCTCGTTTTTGTTAGCCCTGTCTTTCTTGATCTTGTTTTTGCTACTAGTGTATAACTGTATAACACCCTTTGCTTTGACAAGCTTTACCTGATTTTACAACCAACATAAACTATGAACAGTCTACTACTGCTACTACTACTACTACTACTACTACTACTACTACTACTACTGCTACTGCTACTACTACTACTACTACTACTACTACTACTACTACCACTACCACTACAACGAACTGTTACTAGAACTGCCACCACAAACTTGACAGCCTGCACTTCGGGCGCTTGCAGCTGTCGATTCCGATTTGGCGGAGCTTCCCAAAATCAAGTGGAATGGAATCGGGGCTTCAGAAAAGACGGTACGTTTCAGGGGCCCGTAAAATGAAGATCCTAACTTTTAGATTCCCTGAAAATAAGGTTCCCATTGAGGCTCTACATTGTGGTTCCCTGCTTTCCTGAGATCCTCGAGACCTGTCAAGACACCTGGCCAGCAGCGCAGAGGCCGATTGCAGCATTCATCAAGGGGGCATCGGGCCTGCTGCACTTGGAGGGTTTGGGCTGTAGGGTTTAAGGTCATAAGCGAAGTAACTACAGCTAGCTACCAGAGCATTCGCACTGAAAGGCGTAGTTCAAGGAAGTACTGGGGTTTGGCATCGGAATACGGTGGACGTTTCTGTATTCAGCGAGCATGAGCAGACCCTGACAGAGGCCGTCCTATCCTGTTACTCGGCATGTTTTCGCCGTTCGGAGAATCACAGGTCTTTCAAGCGATCCGGCAAACCAGACCTTGAAACAGAAAACCTAAAAACGACTGCTTAAACAACCCTGCGCTCAATGCACTCTCAGCTGCTTGCAGTATTACACCGTCCCGTTCTGATAAGAAAAATCCCGAAGCCCGAACACCTGAACCTCCCGAAGCCCCACAAAGAGGTCTGAAAGCCAACGACTCGGAAGATCGTAGCCGGTAACGGGTTGTACAAGTTTGAAGCTGGTTTAGGATTTAGGGCCTGGGTGTTCCGCTCGGCGAGACTTGTACTCACAGCCCTCAAACCCTCCTGGGCATCAAAGCCAAGCTCCTCAAGCCTCCTTCTAGCAGGTCCCCGCAACTCTCCAAAGCCGCTGAGGGTGGCAACGTGACATCGTGTACCGAACGATTTAGATCTAGAAAGATCATGTCTTGGAATTATGGACGCAATAAGCTAAGCAAGCACATACACACACCGCACTACTTACAACCGTACGAGCAGTCTATCCTGAGTCCTCAACATGACCTGCCTGCCAAGCTGACCTTATTCATAATTGGTATGATGACCGGTGATGATGATGATGATGATGGTGATGATGACGGTGATGATGATGATGATGATGATGATGAAGATAATGATGATGATGATGATGATGATGACAATGATGCTGATGATGATGCTGATGCTGATGCTGATGGTGATGATGATGATGATGATGGTGATGGCGACGAGGTTGGTGATGATGATGATGGTGATGGTGATGACCATGATGACCATGAAGATGATGATGACGATGATGATGATGACGACGACGATGATGATGACGACGATGATGACGACAAGGATGATGATGATGATGATGATGACGATGACGATGACGATGACGATGAGGATGATGATTACGATGAGGATGATGAGGATGATGAGGATGATGAGGATGATGAGGATGATGATGACGACGACGGTGATGATGACGACGATGATGACGATGATGATGACGACGATGGTGATGACGAGGATGATGAGGATGATGAGGATGAGGAGGATGAGGAGGATGATGGAGATGAGGATGAAGAGGATGATGAGGATGATGAGGATGATGAGGATGATGAGGATGAATGAACCCTCTTCTTCTTCGTCATCACGCATAGTAAAAAAATAAGACAGACATGCTTACCTACAAGCAGCATTAATAATTCCAGTAGTCGTGGTGGTAGTAGTAGTAGTAGTAGTAGTAGTAGTGGCAGCAGCAGCAGCAGCAGCAGCAGCAGCAGTGGCAGCAGACCACACATATGATGAGCCCTTGTTTAGATCTGGCAACATCGACTTTAACAAACGACACATTGGACTACGTCGTCGTCGTCAAACCGTTTAAACGAAAACCAAAACAAGGAACAATGGATCCATGCACAAACATATGAAACAATCACCGCAGTCGCCTTAGCGTCACTTCCCGCAGCTGCAAGAAAAGGCGAAGACCTGACCAGTTTTTTGACATGATTGAGATCAATACCATGTGGTCCGTGATTGCAAACGTTTCTACAGAGGTTGACAACGACGGCGAGAAGACAAAGAGGAGGATGAGAATGAGGACGATGTCGACGAGGACGAGAACGAGGTTCAAAATGGCAGAGGTAAGCGATGAAACCACAAGCTGCTACTACGAAGCTGCTGACGTCATGAGGTTCTCGCTTCTCTGCGGCTGCTGTGATGAAAACTGCCAATATGGCTTCTTCGATGATCATCGCGACAATGCTCTACATGGCTCATGCTGAATTTCGTGATTCTGCCTTCATGAGACCGAAACAATGACTGTGAAGGCTAGGACCTAAGTCCATACCCACTTCTGTGTGTGACTGCTACTACGACCAAGAATAGTATTGCCTACTGCTGCTGCTGTAACTGCTGCGGTATTGCTATTGCTGCTGCTGCTCTCCTACCACTACTACGACCACAACCACCAGCACCACCCCCACCAATACCACTACGACTACCTCTTGTTGCTAAACCTTGTTCGTGCTAATTCTCTTCCTTCTCTTCTTATGTCGTCCTGCTTCTATGCCCAGTCCGCTTTCTTTTCTTCTCTTGCGGACGGTGAACCAGGAAGAATGATGGCTGTGAAGAGGGACTCACGACATTATCTTCAGGGCCCAAGGCGTATTAGCTGGGGTTCAGGGTTTGGGGTTTAAGGTTTTGGGCCAAACACGCCGTACAAAAACAAAACGAGACCCCAAGCCAACGAAACTCCCCTCAAAGCCAGACACCTGACAATGAAATTGTAAAAAACTCTAACACA